CGTGGGCTGGAAATCAACTAAAAGGAAATAGGTATGAACATGCCAGAAAGAGGGCTGGAGATAAGGCTCAGGGGTCAAGAGGTCTTGAGTTCAATTCTAAGCAACCACATGGTGACTCACAACCATCTGTAATCAATCTGGTGCTCTCTTCTGGCACGTAGGCAGAACACTACATACATAATAAATAAATCAATCTTTAAAAAGAAAGAAAGAAAAGAAAATGCTAGAAAGAAACCTTCTTTGAAAACTAATTTTTTTTTTTTTTGGTTTTTTTGAGACAGGGTTTCTCTGTGTAGCTTTGGAGCCTATCCTGGCACTCGCTCTGGAGACCAGTATGGAAGCAAACTTACAGAGCTCCGCCTGCCTCTGCCTCCCAAGTGTTGGGATTAAAGGCGTATGCCACCAACGCCCAGCTGAAAACTAATTTTTAAATTTAAAAAAAATCATGTTAATAATTCAATTAAGAGTGTTAGGATAGAAAACAAGAGGCACAGATGCTAACATAAGACAAAACAGTGAAGAAGCGATTAAGAGAAAAAAAAATTCTCAAGAAATTTGTTCACAACCAAAAGAAAGTCACTTATCAAGAACTGTCTTTACAATGGCTAAAAAGACAAAAACCTGTTCTTTCACAAAAATTGTTTTTATTTTATGTGTATTGGTGCTCTGCCTGCATGTGTATCTGTGTGAGGTTGTCAGATCTTGGAGTTACAGTTGTGAGCTGCCATGTGGGTGCTGGGAATTGAACCTGGGTTCTCTGAAGAGCAGTCAGTGCTCTTAACCACTGAGCCATCTTTCCAGCAACCCCCCTGCCCCCGCCAGAAATCCTTTAAAACATAGGATAGAGGATCAAGACTAAAAAACAATGCTTAGTGCAGAAAACAGAATTTCCCTTAGTACGAAACATAACATCTGCAGAATTTGCTCTCTATCTCACTAGGAATGGGACAGACCACTTTGAAGAGGTCCTTACAAAAACCTGAAGAAACAAAATCCTATGCTAATAAATGCTTACATTCAAAGCATAAAAGAATACAAATGATTATAATAACATGCAACAGATAGGGGAAAGCTTTGCACAGACATTACATCAAAGCTATGCAAATAACCAACTAGTACTGAAGAGATGTTCACTTCATTAATTATGAAAGTGCCAAACTGGAACTCCAAAGAGATGATGATTCACATCCACTTAGATGGTTACTAAAAGATAAATAGACTCAGAGTCTCAGAATAAAGGCATAGCTCAGTGGTCGAGTAAACTCATGTATAGCATACCCAAGGACGTAAGTCTGATACATACCTGTCAGATATGAAAATACAAGACCACTGACATAGATAGAACACTGAAACCAAAACCTCATACCATGTTGGCAGAAATGTAAAATACTGAGGCCACATTTTATGTCTGGCAATTTCTTTAAAAGGCAAATATAATTTTACCTTCAGCCCAACAATTCCAGTTCTAAGATCTACATGGGAGAAACCTTCCACACAAGAGTTCCTACAGGATTCCCACAGCATTACTATCAAACAGCCAAAAACAGTAGCTCTAACACCATGTGACTGGGAATTGATAAAAAGAAAAAAAAAAATGCAGTGACACTTGTTACTCAGTCACAGACTCCAGCATGTGAACTGTGAAACTACGACTTGGTGACAGAAATAAGATGCAAAAGAACACTGTGTGATCCCACTGCTAATAAAGGCCCAGAAAGGCAATTATGTAGGAACAACTAGCTGCCAAGGCTATGGTGGGAACCGAGAGTGGATACTTTTGAATATAACAGGTTTTTAAAGATTAACTCATGGTAAAGTTTACAACCCTTGAGTCAGTGACTTAAAAATGGGTAAAAATCGAGGCTAGAGAGATGGCTTGGGTAAGAATACTTACTGCTCTTTGAATTCATTCCCACCACACACATGGCAGCTCATAACCATCTATAATGACAGTTCCAGGGGATCCAATGCCGTCTTCTGGGCTTCAAAGATACCAGGCACATATGTGGTGCACAAAAATGCATGCAGACAAAACACTTATATGCATAAAATAAAGGGGGAAAATACTATGCTTTCCAGTACATAAACTACACCTGATTAAAGCAGGAGGAAGCAGGAGAGAACATGCACATTTACAAAGACAGAGAGAAAACAGAGTGTGAGCATCTAAGGGCAAAGGCAGTATAAGCATTCTGATTAAGGATCATTTAGCATCCCGTGATAAGAGCGTGTAGACCAAACAGGATGGCAGCACACACCTGAACTAGCTAGTCCCTTTGAAGAAGCTGTTGCTGAGATCCTGCTTGTGGCCTGCTTCACCTTTAGGAATACATATTGTAGCAAAAACCACAGTGTCAGTATCCACAGCCCTGGAATGACTCTGGGAACTCCCCCAGTCAGTTCTGCTTATTAGACAATTAGTCAAGAAACTAAGAAAGAAAAATCTTTAAGTTGGATAAATATATGTATACATTACATTATATTATAGGTTCTATCAGTTAAACAGGAATATATCCTCAAGTCAAAAAGGAACAGAATAGGGAGGAACCACCCCTAACTGAATCAGCAGTTATAAGAATAACAGTAATGGTGATACTTTGGTATTTAATTCAATTTTAAAAGGTAAAAGATTTGGGAGGCTTCTTTTTCTCTTCTCTCCATCTTCAAGGTAATTATACAGGAACAAAGACAATGCTGAGATGTTCTTTGTACAAATCCTGAGCTCTGGGAAGACAGTCAAGAAGTGAGCAGAACAGAATTTATTTTGAATTTGAAATTGAAAATGATATTATCGACTCTCCAAGTCTGGGGCAAAATTAAATTTATGGGTAACTGCTTCAACTATACTTCAATAGTAAAAAACATTCTGAAAAAAACAAACAAAAACCCTCTAACTTCCCCTTGCTAAACAAGAATGCTCTATACTCCAGTTTCTGAAGTGAGACAAGAATTCCCCAAGGGGCATCTTTTCCCTTGACTGCATATTACCAAATCAAAGATGCCCTCTCCCAGCTTCTTCCTGGATCCCTGTAACAGAACCATGGTAAGCACTAGCTGAGGAGAGGGCTTCTGTAAGTGTGACCGCTCTGCAGGGCAGGACCAAACACAGCTCACAGCCTCAGAGAATTACAGGCTATGTGGTGTAAGCACCACCCCAGACCCAAGTGACTCTTGCGCTTGCCCTCCCTGACTTAATACATAGAAAACAAATCAAAGTATAGAGGTGTAGTGTGGATTAACACTTAGCTATAAGCACTGTTTCACACATGCTCTTTCTGTCTTCCTTTTTAAGTATTACCCTTTTTACCAATTGAACAGTTCTAATAAAAAGAAACACAATTGTACTTTGGTTTTAATTATGCAGGATGACAAATACATCTTGAGGCAGTATCTAGTAGCTGTGGCCATGTAGTAAACTACAGGTCCATGGCTTGCTGGACACCAAGAGGAAAATACCTAATGCACTGTAAGGGTCTCTTTCCTCCACACTGGCCCTGGCCATGAATTAAAAAACAAGATAACATAGTTAAGTTTGCTTAGTAGTACATATAGCCATAAAAGGTAATTATTGCAGGTGGCTGGGGCTGGTCAGCCTGATAATAATGAAACACACCTCACACTGCCTTTGATTGGACTAATTCCTTTAGCAGGTGTCAGAAAGATAGAACATGGGGAAAAAAACAGATCAACTGTCTCAAAACCTAGAGATCCTTTTCTCAATGAGCCTGTACTAAGCAGAAGTAATAGACACAAACTGTTTCCAACAGAGTACAGAAAAGAACATCAAACCATGTAAGGATCTAAGTTTCTCTTTTGTGGTTAAAAAAAGAAAGTGATTTGACACCATTACCAGCTGAGTTTCAAAAACTAATTCAGTTGTAGAAAAGACCACACTTGTTTAAATGAAACAAATCACAGGTTCCATGACTAAATCACACGAGTAGGAAAGCATGGGACAAGCCACTGCCTGGAAAAAGAGATTTCAGGCTTGAAAATGCCTGACAGTGACAAACTGTGACTGTGTTTACCTGAGCACAGTGGACAGAGTCACCATGACTATGTGTGCCATTCAATACTCTGCAGCCTTCAACTACTCCCCACTACTGTAGCATGACTCTAACACAAGTCTTAGCCCTCTAACTTTGGCATACACCTCAACTGCTGCATTAATAGTAACATGTTTTTCAAATGACTCTTGGGAACACTGACTGAGTTGCAGAGCCTTGTACAATTCTAGCACTCATTTTGAGTGCCCACTAAGCTCTTCAAAGGCAAAAATCTTGGTCCTTTTTGATCCCTGCTCTATACCTACACCAGAATCAATGCCTGGTACAACAGACTCAAAATATGCTGCAATGTGCCTTTTCCTGTTATTTTTCCCCAGTTTCTTGCTTTGGCCCACAAGGCCATCTGATCTAAGTCCCACACTCCTGTCTCCAAGACTGACAATTAATTACCTTTCATTTGAAATAGGACTCTGATAAAATGGTCAAAAAGTATGTATCAGTAGACAGAACACTTTGCATAGTCCTAATACACCTGGGCTTCTTGCCTACCAGTTGTTTTTGGGGGGAAGGGGTAGGGGAGTCTCAAGTTTCCCAGGTTGGCCTCAAACTCACTATGTAGTGTGTTACTAAGGATAACTTTGATTTCTGATTCCCCTACCACAATGCTGATATGTGAAGTACTGAGTCAAAACCAGGGCTTTGTGCATGCTAGGTTATGTATCCTACCAACTGAGCTACAGACCCAGCTTCAGTTGCTTGATTTCAAGTGCTGACATACTGCTGTATCTACTATAACTAAAGTGACCACCATTAGGCTTGGGGCTAGGAAAAGGAAATCACAACTGTGTGTTTTTATTACACCTAAATAAAAACTATACTGCTTTAAACAGACACATTCAGACATACTAGATGCAGTTACAAACATTGTAGGTCATGAAAAGCCATGAAAACTCAGCTCACTTTATAAATAGAAATTTACAAAAATAAAATTACCTAAAATTAAGCCCACCATTGTACTTAAATATCCGGTTCCACTTCCCAGGTTAAGAAAAGACAATCCTGGTTGAAGTTTCAAAGCTTCCATAACTTCGGAATAAATGCAAGGTGCTGACAAGTGTATGTTCCCGTGTGTGTAGGCTAAGTCTTTGTAAGCATTGTCTCTGTAGCCTTCCAGATAGTAATCCCCGCGGTCAATGGCTCTGAAGGCTTGCTCTACTCTCTCAGTGCGGATGTACTGAGCTTCTTTAAGGTTATCAATTAAGTCATCATTATCTTCCCCAGCACTCACAGCTCCTCCCATGACAGTATTCAAATCAAATCATAAGTTAAAACGCATCGGAATTAGTAGAAATGGCTTCCAATAATGTGTGCTTTCTCTTTTTAATATTGAACTTGATTTCCAAAAATAATTAAACCTGGAAAAGAGTAAAAATAAATAAGTTTAAATTAAAATGTGTCACAATATTTTACTACCATTTTCCATGAATATATTCTGTTCCAGCCACAGTGTTAAAAAAGATTCAAATAGACTATTTTAATTAATTCTTGTAACAACCATGGAAGGTAGAAAACTGGGGTTAGGAATTTAAATTAACTAGTACTGGTCCTATATGGTGACCATGATCATATGTGCAGAGATTAACTGATCATATAATTACATGCAATTTAAAATTCAATTAGTCAACTTTAGTTAGATATCATGTGCTTAACAGCTAGCTACCTGCCGCAGCTGTTCCAGGGAATTGCCAGGTGGCTGCAACACCAAACAGTGCTGGTGTGGAGACTGAGACTACTGCATTTTAGTACCAGGCCTTTCTGATTCAAAGCATGGCTCTAAATCACTTAGCCAAATTTATAATAAGAGTAATCCTAGTTTAATGATTTAAAACTCCTAACCTTAGAAGCTAATAATTTTACATGATATACATCTTAAATACTTAAAAAAATATTTTACAATATTACATATGTATATATATATGCATATCCTAAGCACTAAATATAAACATAAAAATAGAAAGGAAGTAGGCATTGTGACAAAGCATTTCTGTAATTCCAGCACTAAGAAAACTAAGGCTGGAGGTTCATAAGCTCAAGGCCATCCTGGCCTCTCAAAGTAAAAAAAAGCAAAGCAAAACAAAACAACAGATTCACTGTTTTGACACATGCATAAACACAATCACTGCTTTGATACCTTTTATAATAATAAGTATTACGACTACAAGCTTTTATTAACAAGTTTAATAGTTTAGCACTGGAACACCATGCACACATACACATTTAGAAATAAAAATAAATATTAAAAAACTCTTGGGGTGCTCATTTGCATCTGGCATGTCTAGACACTTGAGATATAAAGGTTTCCAGAATGAGACTTCTGGAAGTTAACAGCAGATTAACATCTCTTCATTGCAATAGCACACTACAAAGCATAATCTCTGTGGGAAAGGATGATGTAAACTCACAGTACTTTTTTTTTGTTCGGTGGATGGAAGTGGGACATGGACCATCCATTGCTATACAAATGAGTTTGAGTAAGTGACAGCTGAATGACATACTTCAACATCTCTCCAGGGAGCAATTAGGACACCATTTAACATGACCCCGCCCACTACCCAGATTGCTTTTCTACTTTAACAAGATCAGGGGTCAATATTACAGAGGTTGGCTGCCATCACTTCTTTGGGGACACAGTTTTTTTTTTTTTAATTTTTCACTATTTCTTTCTTTCCCTGGCATTCACAATTCAGAAACTGACCCACGAGTTTCTCTGAACTGAATATACTCACTGAAAGACCCCTGGAGGCTCAGGCCCCCAGGATCTCTGCCCAGGACCTCGGCAACCCCAATCATAAGGTGGAGTCGAAAGCTTGATGAAAACAGCATGAGGTTTTATTGCAGTGTTAGCTCGGGCCTTTCATCCATCCACCATGGTGGAGGGCGGAGAAAAGACTCTGAGAAGCCACAGAACTGAGATCTTATAGGGCACCATAGGAGGTATCTAGGGGTACGCACAGGCTCAGGATTGGTGTGCCTCCAGGCTTGGAGGACTTGCCCTGTGTTGATTGGCCAACTGGTTGTTATGGCCCATAGGCCCTCCCAGGGTGGTTACTATGCTCTACACGTCATTACTGTGCACTTGTCCATAAAGCACACCCAGAGCCGTAAAGTATAGCATCACCAGCTAACTTCTGGTTGGTTCCTTGCCACAAGGCAGGCATCTGACCTCCTAGTGACCAAGGCAGCATCAGGCAAGCATGTGTTAGGCTGTTATGGCTGCTGAAATGGGGAGCTGGGCCCTTCATCATGACTGTATACAACTTACATAATATACTCAGTATGATAAATTAAAATTCCCTATCAAGATCCACTCAGGTTTCCACTCAAAGATGCTGTGGTGATTTGAATGAAAATGACCCCAAAGACTCACAGGGACTGGAACTATTGGGAGGCACCGTCTTGTTGGAATGGGTGTGGCCTAGCTGGAGGAAGTGTGTCACTGGGAGTGGGCTTTGCAGGCGCTCAAGCCCGGCATAATGTCCCTCCCTACTGTCTGCCCATCCAGGTCTTTCACTCTCAGTGCAGTGCCCTCTCTAGCACCATGTCTGCCTGCATGCCACCATGGAGTAAACTTCTGAACTGTAAGCCAGCCCCTATGAAGTTTCCTTTATAAAAGTTGCAGTAGTCTTGGTGTCTCTTCATTGCAATAGAAACCCTACCTAAGATACTCAATTCCCTGGGAAGGCCACAAGAGGACATCAGGTACCTTGCAGCTGGAGTTACAGGCAGTTGTGAGCCATGACATGGGTGCTGGGAACAAAACTCCGATCCTCTGAGGAGTAGAAAATGCTCTTAATCATTGAGCCACCTCTCCAGTCCCCAGGTTTGTTTTACGTTTTAAGTGACATAATCTGCAAGTACATCAGTTAACTTTTTCATCTTGTACTCAAATGAATCACTTCTCAAAACAGAAATTTAAGTGACTATGTTAGACAGGGAAGCAGTCTCTATTGGTATCTAATGTGGCACTAACCAAACAAGTTTACAAGAGTAGTTTGGATTACAAATACACATTTAACAAGTGTCTTGACTTAAAGGCTACAATTTACTAGAAGAAAAAATGACTTCCTAATATTAGTCCCAAGGCTTAAGAGGAAGCAACCTTCTTAATTTATCATGAAATCTACCCTGTTCAAAATGATCTTAACCAAACAAACGTCTTTATTACACAGCTCACACTTTTTTTTTTTTTTTTTAACAAATAAGATGTGTTTTGTCATGGACCACATGGTAAACATTGCTGCTTGTCAAGTTCTAGCATTTCAACATTGCAGACCACACTTCTCCAGCACCTTTTTACTTTCAATTTTAATGATTCTCAGTATTAATGCCTTTCCCTTTGGAGAATTTTGTATGTGCTTTGGTAAAGGATAAAATGTGTACAACGGTATTCTCTCTAAACAAATAATTCTTTGGGGAAAAAAAAAAAACAAAAAACAAAAACAAACCACCGCCACCACATGGAACCAGGAATTCCATCACAACCCCCGAATTACAGCAAGAAGAGGAATGTTAGTGATTTACTAGATACACCTGATCCCAAGGATGAAATGTCTACAATTCAGATCCCAATTCAGATTCAAAGCCAGAGGCCATAGGGAGAAATCAGAAAGGTAAAGTACAATGGGAAAAGATTAGGACATCAGGACCTTCCCTTTTGGGCACCTTATGAGGGGAACAGGCCCACACAGTAAGACTAAGAAACTGTATGTAGTGTAATGTCCACTCCCCAGAAATCCTTTTCCCAAGGCCAGGCATTTGGCTAAGACTCTCCATTCCCTGGGGGGCTTGAGGAAAGTTCCTGCTTGAAAAATCAATCATTCTTATCTCTAGCAAGAGGAACTTGTGGCCCTTCATTAACATGACTGGTGCCCCTTGTGAAGGTCAATGCTAACTTCCTCAACCCCTGTCCTCCCTAGTGCTAGGATTAAAGGCATGTACCACCAACACCCAGCTCCAGCAGTGTTTTATTTTTATTTTTTTTTAATTTTATTTATGTGGTATTTTTTAGTATTATTTTCTCTTTGGGGGCCCACCAGCCACCTCCCAAATATGTACACAGAGACTTACTCTTACTTATGAATGCTGAATTTTACTTAAATTTGCTTATTTCTAGCCAACTTTTCTTAAATTACCCCATCTACCTTTCATCTCTGGGTCTTTTTACTGTTTTTCACTTCTTTAGACCTTTCTTCTGGCTGGCTGTCTGGCTGGCCCTTAGTGTCCTCCTCTCCTCCTTTCTCACTCCTTCCTCTTCTCATTCTTCTTGTATATATTCTCTCTCCCTAGCAGCCCTGCCTATCCTCTCTCTCCTGCCTAGCTATTGACCATTCAGCTCTTTATTAGGCCAATATTAGGTGTTTTAGACAGGCAAAGTAACACAGCTTCACAGAGTTAAACAAATGCAACATAAAAGAATGCAACACATCTCTGCATCATTAAACAAATGTTTCACAGCACAAATGTAACACATCTTAAGTTAATACAGACACACACACACACACACACACACACACACACACACACACACGGGCCTGGACCTTGGGTTAGAGATGGCTGTGAGCCTCCATGGAATCCAAACCCCTAGGATTCTCAGCCAGAGCAGCCAGTACTGTTATCTGCTGGGCCTGCTGAGCCATCTCCAGCCCATCTCTTGCAGAGATAGAGGTGAGTATAACTACCACTATTTACTGGCAGATACAG